GATTCTCTTGCCTCGGCTTCCCAAGTAGGTGGGACTACAGGAGCCTATCACAATGCCTGGTTATTTTTTGTTGCAGTCGTTGTTTAGGTGGCCAGGGCTGGGTTCAAAACTGCTACCCTCTCTGTATGTGGCTGGCACTGTAACCACTATGCTACGGGTCCCGAGTTTGAAATAAACAATAATTTTTTATTTTTATTGTTTTTATAAGCATGAAGGGGCTTTGTGGCTGAAAGCTCGAGAACCACTGGAATAGAAAGAGACCTTCTCAAGACATCAAAGGACGAAAGCCCAAGATGTCCACAGCAGGTCTGACCCACCCATGGAAAATCTTTTTTTTTTTTTTTTGAGACAGAATCTCACTATGTCACCCTTTGGTAGAGTTCCGTGGCATCACAGCTCACAGCAACCTCAAACTCTTGGGCTCAAGTGAGTCCTCTGCTTTAGCCTTCCAAGTAGCTGGGACTACAGGCACCTGCCACAACGCTCAGCTATTTTCTGTTGTAGTTGTCACTGTTGTTCACCTGGCCCAGCCAGGCTTCAAACTCGCAAGCCTCAGTGCATGTGGCTGGCGCTGCAACCACTGTGCTATGGACGCGGAGCCCCCACGGGAAATCTTGCCTCTAAAAAATTCTACTTTTCTACCGAGGGTGCCAGGTTCGAACCCGGCCCCAACCAAACTGCAACAACAACAGCAACAACAACATAGCCAGGCGTTATGGTGGGCACCTGTAGTCCCAACTACTTGGGAGGCTGAGGCAAAAGAATCACTTAAGCCCAAGAGCTGGAGCTTGCTGTAAGCTGTGACGTCACGGCTCTCTACCGAGGGCGACAAAATGAGATTCTGTCTCTAAAAATAAAAATAATACTTTTCTAAGGCAGAAATGTCCATTTCCTAACAGACAAGTCCTATTTCCTTACTACAGTCTCTGAGACCTTTCCACAGGAAGATCAGCTCTGTGAAGTCCAGTTAACTGGAAATCAATTCCTGCGGAACCCCTTTTCCCAGTCTCCCAAAGAGCCTCACCATTAGTGCCAGTGGCTTCCAGACACTGATTCATGGGGCCGCGGCAGTCGATGAGGGAAGCCTCTTCCGAGGAACATCCATGAGTGCTGTTCCCCTCACAGCTGTAACACCGAACGCCATTCAGCGGCAGGTTTGGAAGCTCCAGGACTTGGGAGAAGACAAGAGACACAGAGACCAAGGAGATTAGCACTCGCGTCCCTCCTTCCTTGCATTTCCTCCCTAGGACTCCTACTGTCAGCCTGAGATGTGATGGAGCCACCTTGTGGTCAGGTGTTTGAGTGGCACTTTTTTAGGGGGTGGGGTGTTCTCCAAGGCTTGAGAGAAACCCCAACGCTCAACTCCCCATGAGCCCATTTCTGGCCAGGGACTCTATCAGGCACTGGGTAAGCAACTGTATAAGACAAAACCATTGCTTCCCTCATAGAACTTACAATTTAGAGCTACCCTGTCCAATATGGTAGCCACTGGCCACATGTGGTTGTTTAAATTTAAATAAATTATTATTATTATTATTATTTTTGAGACAGAGCCTCAAGCTGTTGCCCTGGGTAGAGTGCCGTGACATCACAGCTCACAGCACCCTCCAGCTCCTGGGCTCAAGTGATTCTCCT